TCTGCCCGTCTACTTGCCTGTGTGTGCATGTACGCTGCTCACACTCTACACACGTGTTGTTGTTGGTCGCAGGCTGGAGGATAGACAACAGCGTGCATATGCGGTTTGGGTGTCTGAGATTATGCTGCAGCAAACGCAGGTCAAGACGGTGATTGACTACTACACACGCTGGATGGCCAAGTGGCCCACCCTAAAGGATCTGGCGCAGGCCACGCCCGACGATGTCCAGCAGATGTGGGCTGGCCTCGGATACTACTCCCGCGGCAGGCGACTGCTTCAAGGTGCGCATGAATGCGGCTGCGTTTGTGCTTGTTCGTGTGTCTCTGCGTGTGCGGCGTTGGGTGTGAGGATCAATATGAAGCACTGTCTCTGTTTCTGTCTGTCTATCTGTCTGTCTGTGCGTGTGTATGAAATTGTCTGTGTATGTGTCTGCGTGTGTGTGTCTGTCTGTGTCTGTGTCTGTGTCTGTATCCGTGTGTGTGTATCGCCACATCTCTGAGGTGAGACCTTCTCACCACGATGCACTGCTGTCACAACAGGTGCCAAACATGTGGAGGAGAAGCTGAACGGCAGAATACCAGAGGTGGGTGCGTGCTTGCATTGTAACGGCCATGTCGCCTGCAAGTGCATGGGCTGTAACTGTGAGTGTACGTGAGTACACGTGAGTGCACGTGAGTACACGTGAGTGTACGTCCCTCCCCAACCCACACGGCACGCACGTACGCACGCATACACACACAAACATACACACACAGTTTCTCTCTCCACTTACACGGCACACGCACACACGCACGCGCGCGCGAACTCCCTCCGCCCGCCTCGACCAATGATTTCAAACCACAGACGTACAAGGGACTGTTATCTGAGCTGCCGGGCGTTGGCCCATACACAGCGGCTGCCATTGCCTCCATCGCCTTTGGATGCGTTAAAGGCGTTGTTGACGGCAACGTGCTTCGCGTCCTCGCCCGTCTCCGTCGCATCACCCAGCCCATCGACACCACCCCAGTGCAGAAGGTGCGCGTGTGTGTGTGTGTGTGTGTGTGTGTGTGTGTGTGTCTGCTTGTCTGTCCTTCGTCTCTGTCTGTCTCTCTGTCTGTCTCTCTGTGACTGTGTCTGCGTGTCTGTCCTTCGTCTACGTCTGTCTCTCTGTCTGTCTCTCTGTGACTGTGTCTGCTTGTCTGTCCTTCGTCTCTGTCTGTCTCTCTGTCTGTCTCTCTGTGACTGTGTCTGCTTGTCTGTCCTTCGTCTCTGTCTGTCTCTCTGTCTGTCTCTCTGTGACTGTGTCTGCTTGTCTGTCCTTCGTCTCTGTCTGTCCCTCTGTCTGTCTCTCTGTGACTGTGTCTGCTTGTCTGTCCTTCGTCTCTGTCTGTCCCTCTGTCTGTCTCTCTGTGACTGTGTCTGCTTGTCTGTCCTTCGTCTCTGTCTGTCTCTCTGTCTGTCTCTCTGTGACTGTGTCTGCTTGTCTGTCCTTCGTCTCTGTCTGTCCCTCTGTCTGCACGACCTTCACTCACACACACATTGCCGTATCCCAACCCTTCCATCACACGCACGCACATGCACATGCACATGCACATGCACATGCACACACACAGGCCATGCAGGCGCTATCTGATGCGCTGGTTGACCCGTCACGCCCCGGCGACTTCAATCAGGCTGTCATGGAGCTTGGTGCAACCACGTGCACGCCCAAGGCACCAAACTGCACTGCATGCCCGCTCGCGTCCCTCTGCCAGTCCCATCGCTTGCACGCGCGCGCAGCGACGGGGAAGACGGCTGTTGCCTCCGACCCCACCTGTAACCTGTGCTCCTCTCACGCCATCGCCGATATTGGTGGGCGTGTGGCGGGAGGGGCCTGTTGTGTGTCTTTGTCTGTTTGTCTGTTGATCTGTGTGTGTGTGTGTGTGTGTGTGTGTGGTGGGGGAGCTGTTGTGTGTTTGTCTGTTTATCTGGGTGTCTGCCTGCCTGCCTGCACGTCTGTCTGGGTGATTGCCGTGTGGTCCTTTGCGTTTGCGTCTGTTTCCCCTTGTACGTGTGCCGCTGCAAGCAATTGGTCATGTCTGCTGCTGCCTCCATCGCTCATGGTTTTGCCTCAACACTGCCCACGCCGTTGCCTGGTGCAGCCACCACCGATCTTCCCCGCAAGAAACCAAAGAAACAGAGCCCTGTCATCGACTTGTGGTGTCTTCACATCCGCACGCAGCGCGACAAGGTTTTGCATTGCGTGTGTGTGTGTGTGTGTGTGTGTGTGTGTGTGTGTGTGTGTGTGTGTGTGTGTGTGTGTGTGTGTGCCTGTCTGTCTGTCTGTCTGTGTGTCTGTGTGTCTGTCTGTCTATGTCTGTGCATGTGTGTGCCTGTCTGTCTGTCTGTCTGTGCATGTGTGTGCCTGTCTGTCTGTCTGTCTGTCTGTCTCTCTATCTGTGTGTGCTTCGTCGCGTGTTTGCCCGGCATGTACTCCCTGAGATGTCGACAATCGAATCGTCATTCATGCCATGTCACGCATGCCACATTCGTGTCCAGGTGTTGCTACTTCGCAACCCAGACACGGGTCTGCTGGCCAGTTCTTGGACGTTTCCCTGCGTTGCCCACACCGAGGTGCTTTTCCGGTGGACACGTGCTTGTTTGTGCGTGCATGCGTGCGCTACCGTTGTGTGTGTCTGCTCTCGTGCATGTCATCATGCGGGCATCGTTGCCCTTGTTGCAGCTTTTCCTTTCCCGCCAATGCCCTCACTCGCTTCATTCAAAGCTCAATCCCTCACTCGCTCATTCCCTCACTCCCTTCGCACTTTCCTCCCTTGCCTTCGCTCAACAGCATGCGACGCCACATGCTGCCGTGGGCACCCTGTTGCCGTCTGTAAAGAAAGCAGATGTTGTGCACACCAACCATGTTGTTGAGCATGTGTTTTCGCACCGCAAGCACCGCTACCACGTGCTGCACGTGTCGTGTGGTGGCGATGACGAGGTCCGTTGCTCGGACGACCACAACGATCGCTCGCAATGGGTGCACAAGACGCGCGTTGCTGCCACGCTCACAACCACCAACATGAAGAAGGTTTGCGCAAGCTTGACAAGTGTGATCATGAGCATGGCGCTCCCCTCAAAAAAAAAAACAGCTCACAGCTGTGCACACACACACACACACGCACACACACACACACGCACACACACACACACGCACACACACACACGCACACACACACACACACATTCACACACACACACCATACACACGTCTTACGCAACCAACCCCTCCTCCCCTTACTACTTACTTACTACTCGCCTTGCAGGTTTGGGAGAAGGTCAAGGCGTGGCGCAAGAAACAGGGCGGAGGAATTGTGGCGGCACTCAAGCGCGCATCGTCAACACCCGCACCCAGGCCTTAGCTTGCTGCAGCTTTTGTGTGAGTGTGTGTGTGTGTGGCTGTTGTGCGTGTGTGTGTCTGTGTCTGTGTGTGCCCACCTGCCTGCCTTCACAATATGTGTACACCTTCCTTTTGTTTGCCAGCTGCCTACGTCCTCGCAATAACTGCAACAACGCAACCAAGCGCATTCACGTCGCGAGTCGTTGTACATATCTGTTTGTGTGTGTTTACTTGGAGTGCTCACACGACACGAAAATAAGCACCCATCCACGTTGCACACGAAGCGGTATGAAGCCACGTCTCGACGAATCAAGCGTCAATCACCCAACGTGGAGCAGATGAGCCCAGAACCACAACACCCACACAAACACAGTAGGGGTCCGCACCTCCTCCTCCCTCCTCCCCCTCCTTCTGTCTCGCAATTCCGGTGTATGTGCGTGGACTGCTTAGTCCTCGAAGAGAAGCTCAACCTTGCCCTCGTCGCTGCACTCGGCCTCGACAAGGCGCTTGGGCGTGCCCCACGCAAAGAGGGTTGGGATCGACTTGAGGCGGAACTTGTCGTGGGTGCGGAAGGCGTTGTTGGGGTCCTTCCAGGTCGTGCGGTCGCCCACCTTGCACACAACCAGCACCACGTGGTCACCGCCGTGCTCCTTCAGCACCTTGTCCACCACGGGCTTGGCTGTCAAGCGAACGCAGGCACGCGCAGGAGGGGGGAGGGGGTGTGAGGGGTGGTATGTGTGGGGGAGAAGGAGTGACAAGCGCACGCATACATGCGGAAGAACGACAACATGCACGTGCTTGCCCAGGAGCATGCACACTGACTCTTCGAAAGGCAGACACAAAGAGAATGCACTTACAAGCACGCATAGAGAAGCGCGCGCAAACACACAGCACACGCAGCACACACTCAAATAGCACTCACTCACTCACTCACTCACTCACTCACTCACTCACTCACTCACTCACTCACTCACTCACTCACTCACTCACTCACTCACTCGCACACACACAGCACACACAGCACACACACTAAAATAGCACTCACTCACTCACTCACTCACTCACTCACTCACTCACTCACTCACTCACTCACTCACTCACTCACACACAAAGCACACACCTGCAACGCAGTCTGGGCACCAGCTGGAGCCGGACTCGTCGTCGTCGCCCGTGCACAGGACCACTGCAAGCTTGCCGTCCTTCGTGGCTGCCTCAGCAGCCCCCAAGCACGCATCAACCGCGTTCACTTCAACCACCTTGTGCGCCATCCTCGTTGTCTTCCTTCTTTTGATGCCGCCAAATTCGAAAATGGTGGAGTGGGCAGAAAAGCACAGTCACAATGTCACCACACGCTCGCATCCGTGAAGCACAGTCACGTCAATCTGTCAATGTCACACTCGCATCGTCAGACCATGTGTCATCACTTACCAAACTGTTGTGTCACACCCTCCTCCACACTCGTGTGCTCTTGTCTTTGTCGGCATTTTCCAAAGCAACGACTCCACGCTCAAGCACAGACAAGTGAGTTCCCGACCACGGCCGCACCAACAACGCACAGCACTTCACAACGCACATCAGAGCGACTACCAACCCCGTCCCAAAGGATCCTAAAGGAGCCGATTGAGCAGCCAAGAACGTCGCAGCAATGTCCGATCCAAAACCAAGGAAGGTCGATGACGAGACCCCAGAGTTCACCCCAACACGCCGTGTGCAGCCAGGGCTCGTGGAAGAGAAGAATGTGAAGGACAAGCCCCGAGGCAAGGGCAAGACCAAGGGCAAGGCCAGAGATACAGAAGCGTACGACTCCGAGCGCGGCATTCAGCGTGTGCAGCAACTCGCCGCGGCGCTCGTGGAGGAGGCGGAGAAGCTTCAGCGTGGACAAAATGCGCTGGCGCAGGAGAAGGCAAACTGGGAAGCACAGGCCAGGAAGCTCGCTTCGTGCGTGGTCCCTAGATCAAGGGTACAAATCGATGTTGGAGGAACCGTGTTCACCACGTCCAAGCAGACGCTCACCAAGTTTGCCAACAGCTTCTTCGCCAGCATGTTCAGTGGCCGCCACGAGCTGCAGCCCGAGGATGACGGCTCCTTCTTCGTCGACCGCGACCCTTTCGTGTTTCGCCACGTCCTCAACTTCATGCGCGGACAGCCACCACAACTGGAAGAGCTGAGTGATGTTGAACTCAAAGCCCTCAAGCAAGACGCACAGTTCTACCAGCTGCCAGAGCTGCTGGAGGCCCTCACGCCACCGGAGCCGATGCTTGCGCTGCCATCGTGTAAGTTTACATCAGGCAACAACTACACCCTGAACACTGAACGCGACACAGTGACAAAGACTGGCGGTGACAATGGCTGGAACACGAACGCCCTCGGTGAAGCGATTCCGTCAACAGGGGCCACGACCATTCGCTTCACGATCATGCAAACAAATGGCCCTAACAGCAACATCATGCTTGGCATCGTCCCATCCTCCTTCAACCGAAACGGCATCAACATGTTCAATAAGTGTGGGTGGCATTTTCACTGTGCCAACAGTCATCGCCATTCTGGCCCACCCAACAATCACCGAAACCAACCTTACGCACCAACGGGGCGGCTGGAAGGTGAAGATGTCGTCGACATGGTGGTGGATCGCAACGCTCGCGCCATTTCGTTCATCGTCAACGGAAACAACGCTGGCGTGGCGTACCAGAACGTCTTCCAAGCAACCGATGAGCTCGTTCCTTGCGTCATCCTGCACCGCCAAAACCATAGCGTTCGCATGGAACTACTCAGCCACACGCCGTGAAGAAGAACAAGATTTGTGCATGTGCATCTCTCCCCTCCGACACACACACATCAACACGCACACCATATTGCATGGTTTCTTGGCGCATGCGCATCCCTTAGCCTTCTGCATCAACGGCCAATCACGCGTTCTTTCCTTCTTTCCTTCGTTCATTTTGCAACCCCCCCCCCCTTGCTCCATCCCCACCTTTGCGCTTCCTTTCTTTGCCATGAACTCTCGGTCCAACCCCTCAATGAACAACCACAATCAACACTGCTTTGCCAATGACATGCCGCACTCCTGCACTCGCTGATACTCAGCCATCGCCGCCAACATGCTGGCATGAAGGACTGACCAAAGCAGCAAACACACAAACAAAGCAACCCCCGCACTGTCATCTGTACGCGACTGATGTCAGTGCTGCAAAAACTTCGTGGTCAATCCACTCCCCGCCCCTTTGTGTTGTCCCCCCTTGCTTGGTGAAAAGATTCCATACCTACCAGCGCCTTTACTGTTTCTTGCTGGCTGGTTGTCATCACTTTTCGCACGCAAGCCAGTAGACCCCACCCTACTGCTGCTGTATTCTGACCCTGTTCTGACCCTGTACCCCCCCCCTTCCCTCCCGCACACACACAAGAAAGGGAGCAGCGAGGTACAGCCTGCAACCCCCACCCTACCAGGCAGTATGACGCGCGCTGCCCTCGTCCTCGCGCTCATCGCGCTGCTTGGCGCTTGCGCTTCAGGTGAGCCTACTAACTACCAACGCGCATGCTGCAGGTCATCTCCTTTCCCCCTCTCCTCTACTGTCTCCGAAATGGCGCCCTTTCTGTCCCACTGTCCGCTGTGAAAGTCGAAGCTGTGGTGCCACCTGTTCCCGCCACCACATGTACCTGTGGAGGCGAGTGCTTACTCTCATTGCTCTTTCTCCCTGCTGCCCTGTCTCTCATACTCCTTTGTTCCCCGTCCCACCAGCCTTTAACATCCAGGACACGAAAGTGACAGTGACTGAAAGCGATCGCGCCGTGTACATCAACGTTGACCCATCCTCCACTGGCGAAATTGTCACCTTCCGCACCAGCGATGTCTCTGCCTCCTCTGACACCTCGGGTTGGTCGCACGTGCGTGTGCATGTGAATGTGTGTGTGTGTGTGAATGTGTGTATGTGCATGTTCGTGAGTGAATTTCTACTTGCGTTGTGTGAGACGTCCACACACACACACACACACACACTCACACACACACCTCACAACGCACACTCACACACAACACAAACACACACATCTCACAACGCACACACACACACCTCACAACACAACACACTACAATCCCCACCCCACCTCACAACACAACACACACACACATCACACAACGCACACACACACACACACACACACACACACCTCAACCCCGCCCCATCACCCCCCCCCCCCCCCCATTTAGGCGCCATGTCCTTGGCGTTTATTGAGAGTGGACGGGTGGACACCAATGTCGGCACGGCTGCGACGTTCTTCACGGTGGACACGCGAACGTTCATGGCCACGGCAAACGCCAACGGCAACAACGTCCTTGTGTACCTGTTTGACGGCGCGGACTTCAATCTGGTGCAGAGCATCCCGGCCACAGCACCAAGCGCCGTGGACGTGTTCACTGCGGCCTCCAACGGTGAGACATACATTGTCATCGCCAACGCCCAGGACGCGCAGACGCAGTCGGAGATGTTCCGCTTCAACGCTCAGACTTACGCCTTCACGTCCGTGCAGACCTTCGACACGTCGTTTGCTGCCGATGCCAAGGTCTTCGAGCACACCACAGCCGACGGCACGAGCCTCACGTTTCTCGCCTTTGCCAACTTCAAGGACATTGGCCTCGACCTCACCAACTACGAGACAGACTCTGCCGTGTACCTGTGGAACCCCACCTTCAACCGCTTTGACTTTCTCCAGCACGTGCCCACCGCGGGCGCAGTCAAGGTGGAGACCTTCACCTACAGCGGCAGCCTCTACCTCATCTTCGGCTGCCAGGGGGAGTACCTGATGCAGCTGAGCCTGACGAAGCCCCTCAACTACAACGTCGAGTCCCGCGTGTACAAGTTCGACGCAGCCGCCCTCCAGTTCACCGCCACCAGCGCCTCCATCAGCACCACGGGCCTCGTCGACCTCACCACCTTTGTCAGCCAGGACGGCACGCTGCTCCTCGCAGCCGCACAGGGCGTCAACAGAACAGACACGTCTGCGCAGTCCAACACCCAGCTCCCCATCGCCATCACCACCGTGGGCAGCGGCATCCGCTTCTACGAGTGGATCCCAGACATTGACCTCCTCTCCTTTGTGGAAACCTACGACGTGTTTGCGCCCTCCGCACTCGACGTGTTCTACGGCGGCGCAAACGGTGACACCCCGTACCTCCTCGTCACCACCCGCGGCAGCGAGAGCGACCCCACAAACACGTCCTCGCACTCCATCCTCCTCACCCAGAGCGCGGTGTCCCAAGACCTGTTCTACCAGGTCGCCTCCTTCCCCACGCACTCGGCCGTCGCCGTCGCGTCCACTGTCATCGATTCTGTCCGCTACGCCGTCGTCGTTTCGCAGCAGCTGCAGGACACACTCGTGCGCGGCGCCCTCACGGAGGCCACCATCTCTGCCCAGCCCACCACCTCCAGCATCTTCGCCATCGTGCAGGAGGGCCAGGACTACACGGCCCGCGCCGGGTCCATCATCTTCGACTCCCCAGACACGGTCGCCCTGCCCATCTACATCACTTCAACCCCGGGCGAGCAGGAGCCAACGGAGTTCTTCACCGTCACCCTCACGTCCTTGGCCGCGGCAGACAACACCACCACCGTCACCGTGTACATCGAGGGCGACCTCGACAACACCCTCGACGTGCAGTACGACGCCGGCGCGGACGTGCGCGACGACCAGGTCTACATCACCGAGGAGGAGCACCCCGTCCCCTTGACGGTTGCCACCTTCTCCATCCCCGGATTCACGGGCACCCTCCTGTGCACGTTGGACACGGACGCGCCAGAGTTCCAGGTCTCCGGCACCACGCTCAAGGTGATTGCGCCGCTTGACCGCGAGGCACAGGACCTCTTCGTGCTCCCCATCACGTGCATGGGCTTTCCCAGCACCACGGGCGTGTCTGCGCAGGCGTACATCATCGTCAACGTCATGGACATCAACGACAACCCGCCAGAGTTTGCCGGCATCAATTCCGGCATCGCCACCAAGCGCGTCACGGAGGGCACACCCGCCGACTTCCTCGTCTACACCTACGAGGTCACGGACGCCGACCTCACCATGAGCGTCAACTTCTCCATCATCAGCATCCGCACCGCAAGCAACGAGGTCGACTACACGGGGCCCACCCCCATCTACCTCGACCCGCTCACGGGCCAGCTCTACACCGCCCGCGTCTTCGACCGGGAGACGGACGGCGACGAGTTCTTCTTCACCCTGCAGGTCACCGACACGCAGGACCCGACCCAGTTTGCCCTCGTTGACGACCGTCTCTTCATCGCCGACCTCAACGACAACGCGCCCGTGTTCTCGCAGAGCGTGTACGCCGTGTCCATCCCAGAGACGTTCAGCACGTCCACCAGCCTTGCCCCGCGCTCCGGGCCAGGCACCATCTTCGGTGACGTCATCTTCACCAACATTGCCGCAACGGACCAAGACGCCAGCGACAACGCCAGAATCTCCTTCAGCATCACAGACGGCAACTTTGCGGTGGAGGGCGGCAACGAGTTCTTCAACATCGACCCCGACACCGCCGTCGTGGACGTCATTGCACGCCTCAACTACGAGGTCCCCAGCGAGCGCCACTTCAACCTCACCATCCGCGCCTGTGACTATGGCCCAGACCTCCCCGACGACCCGTTCGGCCAGCAGTGCAGCGACGCCATCCTCTCCGTCCAGGTCACCGACCTCAACGACAACCCGCCCGTGCTGGACACCATCGACATGTCCGCTGGCGTGGAGAAGGTTGGCCTCTACTACAGGATCACCGAGGCGACCGACAACACGCAGATCCTCCAGGTGCACGCCACAGACGCCGACGGGCCGAACAACAACCACATCGTGTTCAACATGGAGGGCATTGTCGGCACCGCCACGTCCGGCTTCAACGCCTCCTCCACGGGCACCGTCACCGTCTACGACCCCGTCCCGGGCGTGTACAACCTCCAGATGATGATGACCAACGACGGCGTGGGCACGCTCGCGCCGCAGCTGGTGCCCTTCACCATCTACATGTACGTGTTTGATCTCCCCGCCATCACGGCGCCGTCCTCCATCTCCGTGGCGGAGAACGTCACAGCCACAGACGTCCTGGCGACGGTGTCTGCCATGGTCACCGTCATCGACAGCACCTTCCCCACCTTCTCCTACACCATTGTGGGCGGCAACGATCTGGGCAAGTTTCAGCTCGCCGAAGGGTCCGGCACCCTGACCCTCGCCCCAGGCCAGACCCTCGACTACGAGACAGACCCGCACTCGTACGCCATCACCGTGCGCGCTCGCGACATCACCACCACCCTGGACCGCTTCAGCGAGGCCACCATCAACATTGAGCTCACGGACGTCAACGACGTCACCCCCGTCATCGCTGCCGTGCCGGCCATCCCCACTTTTGCGGAGGACGATGCGCTGTCGACCAGCGCCTTTGCCCAGCGCGACGTGGCGCAGCTACAGGTGACCGACGCCGACACCAACACCGTGCTCACGTACACCATCGACAGCGTGACGGCGACGAGGCGCGTCTCTGGCGTGGACGAGTCCCTCCCGTCGGCCTTCAGCATCACATCCACGGGTCTTCTGCAGACGGCCCAGCCCATCGACGCAGAGCAGCACTCGCAGTTTGCCGTCGTCGTGCGGGTGTCGGACGGCGTCAACAGCGCCACCGCTACCATCAGCATCGCCAGCGTCACCAACGTCAACGATGTGGAGCCCGCGTTTGGCCAGCCCATCTACCAGGCCACCCTCTCCGAGACCACCGCTGTCGGTGAGGTGGTCGTCACCCTTGCTGCGGACGACCTGGATTTCGAGCAGGCGTCCCCGCTCGTCTTTGCCATTGTGCCACAGGCTGCAACGACGGACCCGGAGAACGGCGGATCCAGCAACTTTGCCGTTGACGCCAGCACGGGCGCAATCACCCTTGCCAGCGCCCTGGACTACGAGGCCTTCAAGATGCACCGCTTCACCGTGACCGTCTCGGACGGTCGCAGCGAGGACTCTGCTGTGGTCGAAGTGCGCGTGTCCAACACCAACGAGGCCGCCCCCGTGTTTGGCGGCTTTGACCGTGCCGTCGCCATCCCCGAGGACACGGCCGTCCACACGGTCGTGTTCACGGCCACGGCCACGGACGCCGACCGCAACGACACCGTCTACTTCTCCCTTGTCACAAACGACGGCCAGTTTGCCGTTGACGAGCGCACGGGCGTGGTCACCACCGCTGCTGCCTTTGACCGCGAGACCACCGCCTCGTACAGGCTGGTGCTGCGCGCCTCCGATCGCGCCAACGCCTCTGGCCTCCTCACCATCACCGAGGTTCTTGTCACCATCACCGACGTGAACGACAACACGCCCCAGTTTGTCACGCAGAGCGTGTTTGACGTTGCTGAGAACGCTGCTGTGGGCACGCTTGTGGCCAAGGTGGTGGTGACGGACCAGGACGAGGGCGTCAACGCCGCCCTGGCGTACAGCCTGCAAGGCCCTGACGCGGACAAGCTCAGCATCGACGCCAGCGGCAACGTCACCGTCAACACGGCCAACGCCACAGACATTGACCGGGAGACGCAGAGCACCCTCGTCTTTGACGTTGTTGTCACAGACCTCGGCAGCGCCCCCAACACCAACCGGGTCACCCTCACCGCCAATGTGCTTGATGTGAACGACAACACACCGCAGCTGCAGGTGTCCGAACCCAGCCTCAGCCTCACCATGCTCGAGTCCACCACGGCCAACACGGAGGTGGCACGCTTCAGCGCCACGGACGCCGACGCCACCAGCCCACACCGCCAGGTCTCGTTTGGTCTCGCCGGCACGGACGCGTTCACGATCGAGGCCTACACGGGCCGCGTGCTGCTTGCGCGCAGCCTCGACTTTGAGGCCATGGGCCCGGGCCCCATTTCCTTCACGGTCACGGCGACGGATGGTGGCCTCACAAGCGCCCCATACCCGGTCACGGTCGAGCTGCAGGACGTCAACGACGTCGACCCCGTGCTTGGTGATGTGCTGGCGCCGCTCACAGTGCGAGAGGAGCGCTCCTCCGCCATCATCGGCACCATCCCGGCCTCGGACGCGGATGTCGTTGATGACGGCCAGCTTCGCTTCTCCATCGTCGCCACTGACCCGGCGTTTGTGCAGGCACGCATTGAGATTGACGAGGTGACCGGTGAGCTGAGCACGAGCGCGGGCGCAGTGATTGACCGTGAGGAGGTGGAGGGCGGCCTCGACGCCTTCACCGTCACCGTCCAGGTTGTGGACTCTGGCGCGCGCACAGCCACGCGCGAGTACACCGTCTCTGTGACGGACATCAACGACAAGCGGCCCGTGTTTGACACCTCCGTGTACATGGCCAACGTCCAGGAGAACCTTGCCGGTGGCACCTTTGTGACCACGGTGCAGGCGACGGACGGCGACCGCGCAGGCACGGCCTTTGCCACCATCGCCCGCTACACCATCAGCGGCGACAGCCTTGCCCTGTTCCAGATTGACGCGAGCACGGGCGTCATCACCACGACGCGCCAGCTCAACGCCGAGGCCCCGCTGCACGTGCCGGATGGCGGCTACAGCTTCACCGTTACCGCCTACGACGGCGCCAGCCCACTTCCGCTCTCCGGCAGCGCCACCGTCCGCGTCTATGTGCAGGACGTGAATGACATGCCGCCCCAGTTCCCGCCAGGCACTCAGCGGGCGCCAGACTTCAGCGAGGGCAACGCCGCCGGCACGGTGCTGACGACGGTGCAGGCCACGGACGCCGACCGCACGACGGAGTACAACACCGTCTCCTACAGCATTGTCACGGACCCGACCGGCGCGTTTGCCGTGCGCGCCAACGGCGACATCTACTCCACGAGCGAGGTTGATCGCGAGGAGTTCCCCAACGAGGTGTGCATCACCGTGCAGGCGGATGACGGCGACTTCCAGGTCAACACCGATGTGTGCTTCAACGTTGGCGACATCAACGACGAGACGCCCGTCTTCAGCACGCCGCCGCAGCAGACATTCAACGTGACGGAGGATACGCCTATCGGCACCGTTGTGGGCCGCGTCATGGCTGCTGACGCAGACAAGCCCAACACGCCCGCTTCCACCATCACCTACTCGCTCGTTGGACCGCAGACTACGTTCGACATTGACGCGTCCTCCGGCAACATCATCCTCGTTGAGGCTCTGGACCGCGAGACCAAGAACGCGCACTTCCTGCGCGTCCGCGCAACCGACGGCGGCGGCCTCTCTGCGGACCTGGACTACGTCATCGTTGCCGTGCTCGATGTGAACGACAACGCACCAAGCTTCACCAGCGCCCTCGCGTACACCGTCTCCGAGGGCTTCAACGTCTCCCTGCCGCTGTTTGTTGCAACGGCAGAGGACGACGACCTCCCCAACGACGACAACTCCCGCATTGCCTTCTCCCTTGCACCTGGCTCGCTCACAGACGCCAACACGGGCACTGCCATCCCCGACAACATGCTTTCCATCCGCGTGGAGGCAGATGGCCGCGTGTTTGCCAACAGCGCCCTGAACCGCGAGGCCTACCAGGCCTTCTCCTTTGACCTTGTTGCCAGCGACTTTGGCACGCCCCAACTGCAGGCCACAGCCACGATCACCGTCACCCTCTCCGACGAGAACGACAACGCACCCGTGTTTAGCAACGCCACGTACATGTTCAGCCTCGCCGAGGATGTGTCGCTGGGTGTGTTTGGCAGCGTGTCTGCCACGGACGCAGACACGGGTGTGAATGCGCTGATCGAGTACACGCTGCTGACCAGCACGGGCCTGTTTGCCATCGACGCCGCCACGGGCGACCTCTCGCTCACTGCCGCCCTGGACTACGACGTGCCTCCTCAGATGTACACCCTCACGGTGGAGGCCAGTGACGGCGGCGCACCGTCCATGGCCACCACGACGACCGTTGTCGTGCACGTGCTCGACGTCAACGACAACGCCCCCGTGCTCTCGCGCTCCGTGTATCACGCCGTCGTCGACGAGAACATGCAGGGCGCCAGCACGGTCATTGCCAACATCTCTGCCACGGACGCGGACAGCGGTGCGTTTGGTGCTGTCTCCTACAGCGTGGACATGGGAGCGTCCGACGCCGCGTGCGCCAGCCTGAGCCTCGACGCGTCCTCCGGCGCCGTCACGGTCGACGTGGCCTTCAACCGCGAGGAGCTCACGTGGGTCAACTGCACCGTTGTTGCCTCCGACGGCGGCAACCCTGTGCCAATGACCAGCACGGCTGCGCTCAGCGTGCGCGTGCGTGATGTCAACGACGTTGCGCCCGTGTTCACGCCCGCAGGTCCCGTTGACCTGACCCTTGCCGAGAACAACGCGGCGCCGTCCACGCTTTACCAGTTGTCTGTTTCCGACCAGGACACCGTCGGCACCGTGGCGCTGTCGCTCGACAACGACTTTGGTGGGCTGTTTACCATCAGCGAGAGCAACGAGCTGCAGGTCACGCGCAGCCTCGACTACGAGGCGGACCAGCGCATGTACTCGTTCTCTGTTCGCGCCTTTGATGGCGTGCAGGAGACGTTCCTGGACGTGAACGTGGACCTGACCAACGAGAACGACAACAATCCCGAGTTTACCCAGCAGTTTGTGTACCGCGTGGTGCAGGAAGGCACTGCGGCGCGCACTGTGGTTGCCCATCTTGTGGCCAACGACCGCGATGAGGCCGCCAGCCCCGCGGACGTGGTGTACTCCATTGTTGCACCGGGCACGCCTTACTTTGCCGTCGACGCAGACCTTGGTACCGTGCACACGACAGACGTCGCCATCGACTACGAGATGACGCAGACGATCAACTTCACCGTACAGGCCGCAGATGCCGGCGGTCGCATCGGCACCGTCGACATTCAAGTTGCCGTGGAGGACATCAACGACAACGATCCCGTGTTCCAGAACGCGGGCACATACGCCATCAGCGTGGACGAGAACACGCCCGTCGGTACAGAGGTTGAGCGCGTGCTTGCTCTGGACGCCGACTCTGGCGTCTTTGGCGCTGTCGTGCAGTACGTGACAGACTCGGCGCTGTTTGTGGTGGACAACTCTGGCGTGATCACGCTGGGCGCGGCCCTGGACTATGAGGACGACATGCTGTTGAAGAGCTTCACCATTGAGGTGTTTGCTGTGGACGGCGGCAACCGCCAGACGTCCGTCACCATCGCCGTCACCATCAACGATCTCAACGACAACCCAACCGTGTTTGACGACAGCACATACACGGGCAGCGTCCCCGAGCACTCGAGCATGGGAACGCACGTGATTCGCCACATCCGCCTCTCTGACGCCGACACGGTTGTCACCAGCTACTCCCTCTCTGTCCGCGCCATGGCCGGGGATGAGGACACGGAGAGCCTCTTTGCGGTGCAGGGGGTGGCTGTGGTGTTTGTGGGCAGCCCCGCTGCGCTTGATCGCGACACGCGGGAGGAGTACCGCTTCTGGCTCGTCGTCACAGACGCGGATGGCCAAGAGGACACGGCGATGGCCGTGGTCACGCTCACGGACATCAACGACAACGCACCAGAGTTCTCCCAGGCCCAGTACAGCGTGTCGCTGGCGGAGAGCAGGCCGCTTGGGCGCGTGTTTGCGGGCATCAGCGCCACAGATGCAGACGCCGGCGCCAACGCGGCCATCACGTACGCTATTGTTGGTGGCAACGAGGAGGACCGCTTTGCCATCGACGACGTGACCGGCGAGCTGAGCCTCGTGGCCAGCCTCAACTTTGAAGCCACCACGTCGTACGTGCTCACGGTGCAGGCGAGCGACGCCGGCAGCCCCATGCCGCAGTCCTCCACCGCCAGTGTGGCCATCACCGTGCTCGACGTCAACGACAACGCGCCCGTGTTCACGCCGGCCGCGCCGTCCATGATAGTGTATGAGAACGAGGAGGCTGGCCCCGTCATTGGCGTGCTTGCAGCAACAGATGCAGACTCGTATGCCGGTGGCGAGGTGCAGCGCTTCGAGCTGGTCGGGGAATCGGACGATTTTGCCGTGGATGCAGTCACCGGTGCCGTGCGCGCGCTGCGCACGTTTGACCGCGAGCAACAGAACCAGTACAGCGTGACGGTGCGTGTGTATGACGATGGTGCACCAGCGCAGCTGTGGTCTGACACCGAGCTGCGCATCTTCGTGGGCGACAGGAACGACAACGCGCCCGAGTTTGGCTGCCCCAAGGCCGGCATGGCCGTGACTGAGGCTGCGCAGGTTGGCGACGTGTTTGCCACCATTCGCGCGTACGACGCGGATTCGTCCTCCACTGTCACTCACACCATCACCGCAGGCAACTGCGAGGGCACATTTGGCATCTCCCAGTACACGGGCAAGCTGTATCTGCGCAAGCCCTTGAACCGTAAGCAGGCGGCCCAGTACGAGCTGCAGGTGACCGCCAGCGATGGTACCTTCTCCAACGTGCAGACGGTGACGGTGCTGGTTGACATGAGCGACATCAACCGCATGAAGCACGTGCTGAACCAGGTTATGGGCATCCACTCTGGCGTGTTTTCTGCCGTTGACCTGTTTGAGGAGTATCCGTCCTACGAGAACCTCGGCACGCTGCCCTCCACCACCTCCCACATGATGACAACAACGTCAATGGACGCCACCAGCAGCAGCACCACCACCACAACAGCAGCAGCAACAACAACAACAACGACGATGATGATGACGACAACCTCGACAACGACGACCACGCCAACTACCGCTGCGACGACTACCACGATGGTGAATGCAACGACCACCATGACGACAGCTGGGACAACTACAACCACGACTACAACAGCGACTACAACCACGACCACGACGGCTGATGCAATGTCCACCACGACAACCACGACGATGGCTGGAACAACCACGACGATGGCTGGAACAACCACGACCACCACAGCAGATGCCACGACCACAACTACAACTACAACTACAACAGATGATGCAATGTCCACCACGACAACTACAACTACAACTACAACTACAACTACAACTACAACTACAACTACAACAGATGATGCAATGTCCACCACGACAACTACAACTACAACTACAACTACAACTACAACTACAACTACAACTACAACAGATGCCACGACCACAACGACCACGACAACGACAGAGACGGACGCTGCAACAATTCTGGCCATTGATACTGTGCCTGGCACAGGGTCAGATGGAGGTGCGGCATGTGTGTTCCCCTTCACGTACAACGGCGTGGAGTACAACTCGTGCACGACCGAAGACTCCAACGTGTACTGGTGCTCCACCACGGCTGTCTATGAGGGTCAGTGGGGCAACTGCGACATCTACGACGCTTTCATTGTGCAAGACGACAAGCTGTACTCCCAGGAGTCCATGCTTGAGGCTCCAAGCAAGATTGTCGCGTTCCAGGATGAGGTTTGTGCAACGCTGCTTGTGCTCATGTGTGTAGTGTGTGTGTGTGTGTAATGGGGGGGGGGGGAGGCGGAAGAAGGGGTACGAACAGCTGTGTATGTTCTGCGTTGTTGTAATAGCATGTCCACAGTATTGCCTTTGCTAATAATACACGCGGCACACACACACGCGGCACACACAGATCATTGCCATTCAGCCACAAGGTGCAGCCAGCACCATCGAGTTTGTGCAGGAAGACGGCCAGGTATGCTCATTCAGATGTCGTGTTCCACGTGTGTATGGCTTTGCGTTTATGTGTTTATGCTGCTTGGCCTACGGAGTTTACAGTGGTGACACCAACACCTGGCTCACGTCGTGCTTCTCTCATCTCCCTTTCATGATGATAACCTCTGCTTCATGTTTCCACGTTCTGTCTACGCAGGCCATTGCCAACATTGTGGATGTGACGTCCAACTACGGACGGGCCGCCTCTGTTGCGGTCTTCATCACCACGGACGCATCCCTGCCATCCACCGTGCTCGTGCGCGTGTCTGGCACAGTCGTCCTCACCATTGAGATCCGCGCACCGCCGTCAAGCACCACCGTGCCGGAGAACCCCGTGTTCACCGTGAGCGGCGCCCTGTGCGTGTTCCCGTTTGTGCTCAACGGCACGGTGTACAACAGCTGCACCTGCGATATTGTCGGCCAGTACTGGTGCGCCACAGACCGCTCCCTGCAGGTGCAGGAGGCGTGGGACTACTGCGACCCGGCATACCTGCCCAGTGATGCGCCAGAATGCCCGCTGTCGGCAGCCGCCAGTGGCCTCAAGCTCTCCGCGCCAAAGTCTGAAACTCAGACAAACAGCAACGGCGATGTCAGCAGTGACAACAGCAGCAGCAACTCGTCGCGTGCAGCCCTTGCGCTACCGGCGACGCTTGGTGTCATTGCGGCCGTGCTCGTGGTCGCGCTCGCCGCCGTCTACATCAAGTCGGGCCGCCGCGCAAAGTAAGTGCTGGTGGCGACTGTGATGGTGATGACCGATGAAGCTTGTTGTGGTTGGGTTGGGGGTGGGGGGGGGGTAACGGTGCAGGTGTGAGTTCTTGGGCGACGTAGTGGTAGTATTGATTGTTTGTGATGGTCGTGATGATAGTTGTGGTGGTGGTCGTGATGATAGTTGTGGTGGAAGGGTGGACGAGATTCACAGTTGGTAATCGTGACATGATCAGGTCAAAACATAACGCGTCTCACCCAATCTTGCTCTCTTCCGACTCTTTTCTCTTCTGCTGCAGGTTTGCCACCCCAGTTGAGCGCCTCAATGACGATTGCGACGACAGTCTGTCTGCAGCGCCAGAGTTTTCGGAGCTGACGGCAGTGTATGATGACGGCGAGCTCATGCCCCCGACCGAGCCGCGCCGCGCCTTTACCTTTGCCTCCCAAGTCACCGAATCACAAGTCTAACTGCTGTGTGTGTGTGTGTGTGTGTGTGTGTGTGTGTGTGTGTGTGTGTGTGTGTGTGTGTGTGTGTGTGTGTGTGTGTGTGTGCGGTGCAACTTCATGCGGTTGGTTCAATTGTACCCTCACTGTTGCGACCTGTGCATTGATGTGACAACTCCTTCTTTTCCTTGTTTTGTGACGGTCTGTTTGCGTCGTGTTCGTTCGATATCCATGACAATCTGTTCAATGTTCTGGGTAAAAAGGACAGCGACAAGTAAAACTTGATGACATGACAACGGCAACAACAACACAAGCCAAATACACATGACAAGAGAGGAACAGCCTAAGGTGCTCACGAAACACACACAACAGAGGATGCACAATACAAGTTGACACAAAGGCCAAGTTAGGAGAGACAACATATGCATGCAATCGAACACATATGCATGCGATCGAACACACACACACACACACGCACACACACACACACACACACACACACACACACACACACACACGGCTGATTGCTGTACGGTTGCTGTGCGAGTACCACCACAAGGACTGGTACCAGCAGCACGAGTATGGATGGATGGCTGTCGGTGGCGGCAGCGGCAGCGGCTTAGACGGGGCCCATGGACGCTGGGCCACCAGGGGCTTGCTGCTGCTGGGCACCGGCAGGCACGGGCCGCTTGATGCCAGACACAATCTTGTCAATGCGCAGCAGCATGATGGCCGTCTCCACGGCCGTCTTGATGGTCTGGGACTTGACGCGGATAGGCTCCCACACGCCAACCTCCTTCATGTCTGCAATCTCGCCCGTGTCACCGTCAATGCCCCACGTCACGTTGTTGCCTGCCGCGTGCTTTGCCTGCAATTGCAAGGCATACGTTTGTAGTTGGTGATTGGTGTTGGGTGTATTCGAGGTGTGAGCGGTGGAAGCGAAGCGTGGACAAGCGCGAGGACGAGTTTTGGGGTGTTGTGTTGGAAAGAGGCTGTGGTACATGCAGTTGGCTGACAAAGTAGTACACCACGCACGCCATCAAAGACAACAAACACACACACACACACACACACACACACACACACACACACACACACACACACAGCCACGCATCCATACACACTTACGCGGAGGGCTGTGAGGGTGCGGATGGTGTTGCCACCGCAGTTCTGGATGAGGGTGCGGGGGATCACCTCAATCGCCTAAACGACAATGAGTTGAATTCGTGGGACAGAAAACATTGTGTTACTTGCTGCTGTTCAAAGGACAGAAGATGGGGAAGAAAGAACACACACACACACACACACACACACACACACACACACACACACACACACACACACACACAAGAGCCAGGAGCACATGCGCACCTTGGCGACGGCCTTGTACGGCCACTGGGAGACACCCTCAATGCTCTTGGCGAGCTCCGAGAGACGCACGCTCAGCTCCATCTCCGTTGCACCGCCGCCGGGCACAAGGCGCGGGTCGAGCAGGATGTTGCGGGCAGCATGCATTGCGTCCTGCAGGTTGCGCTCAACTGTACGCAGCACGCGTGTGTGAATGTGTGGTTTATGTGTGAGTGCAAATGAGCCGTGTTGTGCATCAAGGGACGGCAACAAGCGCATCATAACAAACACACACAACCAAGAACATAGACTGCAAAATACGGGCACACACGCTTCCACGCACACACACACACACACAAAGTGTACACTCCGCACCTTCCATGAGAATGTCCTTGCTGGCACCGCGGAGGAGGATGGTGCACGCCTTGGGGCTGTCGCACTCCTCAATGAAGGTGAAGTATCTGTTGAAGTGAATGTCACGCCACCATCCACAGCAGAAGGCAGAAGAGGGTGCGTGGGTGAGTGAACAGGGCGGCAACCAACGCACACACATCACACATCACACAGGACACACATTTCGACACATACACACGCACGCACATATCGACCATCCACCACGACACTACGATGACGCACGCAAACCTTGCATGGGAGACAGCGCTCGTGCGAGGTAGGAAGAGCAAAACATCATTAACGCAACAACTTACTCGTCGCCGACCTTGCGGATCTCAAAGAGACCGCAACCGGTGCCAATGTCCGTCTCCTTAATCTCATCCGTTCGGTTCACAATCGTCGCGCCGCACGCACTGCACACAACGAGCAATTGATGCAATGAAGGGGAACACACGATGCGTTGAAGCGGATGTAGGGCGTTGGTGAGCACACAGCAGCCTGGGGACGCCGTACAGGCACTGCTGAACCAAGACACCACGCAAACAACCGCAAACAACAGAGCACAAAACAAAGGAAGGAACAGGTCAATTACACTCACCGGGCAATGCGGTTGTTGTCGGACTTGCGCACACGGCGAAGGGCGGTGATGTTGTGCTTTGCAAGATAGTGCTGTGCAAGGTCTATCAACAAATAAGGCATGAGGGGGCCGCGTTGGTAAAAAAAAAAAAAAAAAACCACAGCAACGACAAGCGAGCATGAGTGAGTGAGTGACCGCGAGGGAACGGAAGCATGTCTGCCCACAGCTTATGCCCTTACAGCAACACAACAGCACGCGCACGATGTCAACAAGGCCGCACACACACACATGCACGCACGCACGTGCACACACGCACACACACACATGCACGCACAACGGGCACTGACCGGAGACACCCTTCTCGGTGATGATGAGGTCTGGCTTGTGGGCGATGATGTCGTCGCAGATGCGCTTGATGTACTCTTCCTCAAGCTGCAGCACCCGCGTAAAGTCCTGATCCTTCATAAACTGCACACACGCACGCACGCATGAAAGAGGTGTGAGACGGGCGACGCATCATGACGCGGCACCTGAACACACACAGACACACACAGACGCGCACACACACACGCCACAGTCCCTTTTCTTCCGATTCGGTTGCACGCCTTCCGGTCATCGCCCATCCCCCCCCCCCCGGTTTGTGAAGCTCCCTCATCAGAACCTACGCTTCGTCACACATACACACACACGCACACACACGAACACCAGCTGCACACGCACCTCGACGTCTGTCTTGCTCTCGCCCTTGGTGTACTCGAGGTTGCAGTCGAGGAGGATGATGCGGGGCTTCTCGATGCGGCGGCGCATGCTCGAGTGGGTCACGTCCTTGTTCAGCATCACGCCGCGCAGCACCTTCGAGTCCTCAAGCTCACCGCCAGGGATCTTCTCAACCTGCACATGACCAACAAACACATGACAAACGCGTACGACAAGCGCATGAGGCGCTGTTTTGTGAGGGCAGCAGGACAGAGGAAGAAGACACACATACCCAACAGATGTGTGCATCAGCCTTACATACACATCCACACACACACACACACACGCGCGCGCGCACACCTCCACACACGCGCACACCTCCACACACGCGCACACACACAACGATGTGTTACCTTGGCGTAGCGCTTGATGTCAATCTCCTTGGTGCCGTGCTCCTCCATGAAGACGGTCTGCACTGCATCCAGCGCAATCTCGCACGCAAGACGCGACCTGCACAACAGACATACACCACCGCAGCAGCAAGGACGGCGGGTTTGAGGTGAGCTCCGGCGAGCACCACAAGCACGTGCGGAAATGAAGCAATCGCCGGAATTGTGTGGGTGGTGTGAGTGACTGGGCAACGCACCACTTGCGCAGCATCTTTGTGCCGACGACGGCCTGAAGGGAGGAGAGGAGGGCCTCCTTGTCGCTCGTGTCAATGGGCTGGGCAATGTCTTCCGTGATGGCGGTCAGCGCATCGTCGAGCGCGCGCAGGTACGCGCCAATCACGACAACAGGGTGCTCCTTCTGCTCCATAAAGGGCGACGCAACCGCAAGAAGCTCACCAGCTACCACCAGGCCAGGAAAGGGAGGAGGGAGGGGGAGTGTGGCGGGATGAGAGCTGATCTTTGCTCGTGCTGGGATGCACACATCAAAAGTCTTTTTAACTACCCTTGCCGGCCATACGCACGCACGGTCGTGCCCACTTGCCACCGCACACCCTCCTGGATACAGAGCACACACACGCACACGCACACGCACACGCACACGCACACATAACGTACCGAGGATGACCACGGATGTGGTGCCGTCGCCAACCTCCTCATCCTGTGAACGGGCTGTCTCGATCAGAGACTTGGCTGCGGGATGGTGGACCATGATCTACGTGTGTGCGTGCATGGTGTGTGTGTGTGTGGGGGGGGGATGATGAGTGTTGGGAGGAGCGATTCGAGGTTGTGGCGATGAGATGAGAACGCACAACTGCACGTCAGATCGCGACAAGTAAAGTGTGGTGGTGTGTTGTGTACGTCCATTAACGTGGGATCAACCGGCACCTCTTACGAGTGCTTACCTCACGAAGGATGGCGTTACCATCGCTGGTCATGACAATACCGCCCATCGGGTCCATGAGCATCTGCAAATCACAAGACAAGAGTTGTGCAACTGAAGCGTGAGGACACGAGAACCAAACTGTAGACGCAGGAGAAGTGCAAACACGCACGTTCCATGACATGGGAGGAATCGAGAACAAATGCAGAGGACGGTCGCCACCCTTTCTCCACAGACACACGGACACAAGCGTGCGCACACAAACAAACATATGCACACACACACACACACGCACGTACGCACCTTGAGCATGGCCCTGGGGCCAAGGCATGTGCGGATGACATCGGCAACGGTCTGCATCAGGCGAAATAGAGCACGGTTGAAAATGATGATAAGCACATGCGTGTATGCGTACACTTCATGAGATCGCGAGCGAGTGGAGAGCTTTCCAGGCGATTGCATAAGAAGACGCAGGACACACACTCGTTCATCAACCATCGCCGTGAAGATCGCGATGGTGCATGTTGGCAGTTGTCGTACCTTGCCGGCCTGAATGTTCTCCAGCTGAACCTTGCGGCCTTCCTCCTTCTTGGCCGCTTGTTGGTCTGTCGAGGATCACACAAGCAGGCATGTGCAGGCGAATCAAGAGAGCGGTGAGCATCATCACTGCCATCGCACGCGAACAAGGTGGGGGGGGGGTATCGCTCCTGTCACGCACACACTGTTTGAATTGCGGCGTGTGCGCATCGACGTTGCCACACGGCAAAACCGCACAGCAACGCACGCCATGCTCCAGGATGCACGAATACAGCAGCACACGCACACACACACACACACAACACCATGCACACTTACTCATCACATAGACTTGTGGCTGTTGCTGCATGGCTGGTTGTTGTTGTTGTTGTTGTTGTTTGAAACAAGGGGAGAGACGGGTGACAGTTCCGACAACAAGGGGGTTGGTTGGCTGTTGTTGTGTGTGTTGGGCGAGCTGGTGAGCTGTTGTCGTCGTGAAGTTTGCACGTTGCCCTTTTTTGCTCTGCTTCTTCTTCCTTTGGCTATTCCTGGCTTTGGGGCATATCTTTGCGAGTTTTCGTCACGGCTGCACTGGCGGCGGTGGCTGAGTTCTAGCTCTGTGTCCTGGTTTCAGGCCAGTTGCCAAATTCTGGGTGGGTTTCCCGTGGTGTTTGTTTCGGTCGTATCTGCGTTGTTCCGCACGCCTTGGAGTGTGGCTTGTGCCTTCAGAGAACATGTCGATTATTGCCGAAAGAATGCACGAAAGAGGCGTGCGCGGAACAACGCAAATAGCAGCACAAGGCAATTCTGTGCAATTGGCACAAACTCAAACAGCACACCCACGCGCACACAAGAAGCACGGCAACAACACAAAGGTGCATTCATATCCGCAGGCAGCACTCACACACCCACACTCAGACAGACAGACAAAGAGTAGCAAGCAATGTCGGCTCTTCGTGGAGGCATGGCCAAGGTGCCGCTCCGCCTCATTGGCGGCCTCATTGGTCTCGGCACAGCCGCGTACGGTGTCAACGAGTCCATCTTCACAGGTATGTGAACTGGGGGATGTGTGCATGTGTGTTGATGTGTGTGTGCATGTGTACGTGTGTGCGTGTGTACGTGTGTGCGTGTGTGCGTGAAAACGTGTGTGTGGAAGTGGATGTGTGTGTGGATGCGTGTGTGTGTGTGTGTGCGTGTGTAGGTGTGTGTGTGTGTGTGTGCACGTTATTGCTTCGTGCAAGCGCCCGACCTGCTGACGGGTGCGTGACACGTGTGTGTGTGTGTGAGGCTCACGTGGTTTCGCTTTACCTTCTTGGTGTTGCACCACCAACAGTCGATGGTGGTCACCGCGCCGTCATCTACAGCCGTCTCTCCGGTGTGACGGACTCTGTGCTCGGCGAAGGTGTCCACTTCAGGTGAGCTACCTCCGTTTTCTTTCCTGAACCATCATCACGCTCCGGGGCGTGCGCACGTGTTTGTGTGCTGTGTGTCAGAGAGAGAGAGTGTGTGTGTGTGTGAGTGTGTCTCCTGTTGTGGGTGCGTCGTAAGCCTACACGTGTTCACGCTAACCTGATTTGGTGTTGCACCCTGTTTCTGCACTCCTTTCCATCTCTCCCATCTCTCCCATCTCTCTGCGTTCCAGGATTCCCTGGCTTCAGCGTCCCATCATCTACGACATTCGCGCAAAGGCAAAGCGCATCACTTCCCTCACCGGAACCAAGGGTGCGTCTCATGTGCCGTGTGCGTGCGTGTTTGTGTGCTTGCGTGTGTGCGCTTGCGTGTTTATGTGGGGTTTGTATGTGTGCGTGACACACATATGGCTCGGTGTTGCTTCAATGGCTCTGGCTGCTGTTGAGGGGCAGTGTCGTCTACCTTGATCGTCCTGTCCCCACTCTCTGCCAACTCTCCTCACCACTCCCACTTTCTTTCGCGTGCGGTCGTGCAGATTTGCAGATGGTCAACGTGACGCTTCGTGTGCTGTGCCGCCCCCAGATCAACCAGCTTCCCTCCATCTACAGAAACCTTGGCACAGACATGGACGACCGTGTGCTCCCTTCCATCATGAACGAGGTCCTCAAGTCCGAGATTGCCCGTTTCAACGCGTCACAGCTCATCACGCAGCGTGAGAAAGTCAGCCGTCTCATCCGGTACGTGGCATTGCGCCAGTATGTCCCTGATGGGTGTTTTGTGTTGCGGCTTTGTGTGCATTGTGTGTGTGATGTACTGTGTCGATGTGCACCCGAGGTGGTGAGTGGAAGCGTGTGGCTGTTTAGCTTGACACAACGCATATCACACACACACGCATATCACACACACACACACACGCGCACACACGCACGCACACACGCACGCATGCACGCAGACCCGGATTGTTATGCACTCACGCTGTCTTGTTGTGTGATTGTGGTGTGCCTGTTAACCCACCAGCGAGAACCTGACTGAGCGTGCCGAGGACTTTTGGCTTGTGCTGGAGGATGTGGCCATCACGGACCTGAGCTTTGGCACGGAGTACAGCCGGGCTGTTGAGGCGAAGCAGGTTGCACAGCAGGAGGCCCAGCGTGCTGCCATGCTTGTCGAGCGCGCAAAGCAGGAGCGTCAGCAGAAGATTGTCGAGGCTGAGGGTGAGGCCAAGTCCGCAAGCCTTATCGGCGAGGTGCGTCCAACCAGCTTACACTGTGTAGTGCGCGTGTGTGTATTGATGTGTGTTTGTGTGTATTGATGCTGTGTTTGTGATTATGTTTGTGATTATGTGGGCATTGTTGTTGTGTTTGTGTGTAGTCTGTGTGTGTGTGTGCGACTGTTGTCCATGTGGCAGCTACAGCCAGCGCTCACTCATGTGTGCTCTGCCTGACCTTTGTTTTGTTTGCACGTGTGCAGGCCATTGCGCAAAACCCTGGCTTCCTTGAGCTGCGGAGAATAGATGCTGCGCGGGAGATTGCGGGCACGCTGTCCAACTCGGCCAACCGCGTCTACCTCGACGCAAACCAGCTCCTCCTCAACGTCGACGACTACGAGTTCTCAGAGTGCGTTTTGAGCGAAGCAGCAGCATGTCTTGTGGTCGTGTGCCCTTGTTCGCAGTTGTTGTTGTTGTTGTTGTTGTTGTTGTTGTTGTTGTTGTTGTTGTTGTTGTTGTTGTTGTTGTTGTTGTATTAGTTGTTATGTTGTGATTATGTGGGCATTGTTGTGTGTTGTGTGTAGTCTGTGTGTGTGTGTGCGACTGTTGTCCATGTGGCAGCTACAGCCAGCGCTCACTCATGTGTGCTCTGCCTGACCTTTGTTTTGTTTGCACGTGTGCAGGCCATTGCGCAAAACCCTGGCTTCCTTGAGCTGCGGAGAATAGATGCTGCGCGGGAGATTGCGGGCACGCTGTCCAACTCGGCCAACCGCGTCTACCTCGACGCAAACCAGCTCCTCCTCAACGTCGACGACTACGAGTTCTCAGAGTGCGTTTTGAGCGAAGCAGCAGCATGTCTTGTGGTCGTGTGCCCTTGTTCGCAGTTGTTGTTGTTGTTGTTGTTGTTGTTGTTGTTGTTGTTGTTGTTGTTGTTGTTGTTGTTGTTGTTGTTGTATTAGTTGTTGTTGTTGTATTAGTTGTTGTTGTTGTATTAGTTGTTGTTGTCGTCATCACTGTCTTGAAGCGTGTTGCGTCTGTTGCTGCTCGTGCGATTATCTTTCGTGTGCATCCAACCTTGTATGAATTGCTTCATGCTCATGTACGATGTGTGTGTTGTATGTCCCGTAACAGGACGGCGCTCAAGGCTGCGTCCCCGAAGAGTCAATAAGCGACACACTGTTGGCCCTGTCCACGCATCTGCTACCGCCGCTTGCAAACACACGGTCGTGGTGTAACAGTGCTGGTGGCGATGATGGCTGGACGAGGCGTCCTTTGTATGAACGTGTGATGTGTGTCGTTGCATTGGCTGTTGGTGGCTCTGCTCAGTTCACCCACTGTGTTGTTGGGGAGCTGTGACTCGTGCTCATGCGTGCGTTCATATCTTCGCAGGTGGTTTGCTGTGGTGTATGATTGTGGCTTGTATGGCTCGTGACGTGTGTGTGTGTGTGGGATTGTGGTGTGCCTGCTTCCAATCCGTGCTGTTGTGGCTGTTGTGGATGTGATGATGCAACAAGGTGTAAAAGGGTGAAGAAGACCTCACAAATGAAGACCCCAATCCAAGCATGACACAAGTGGAACCAAGGAGAAGGCAGTGTGTGAGCGATAATGGCAGAAACAAGCAGTGATCTGGCTGTGCGCATTGTGTCGCACACACACACACACAGTCACTGACACGTGTGCAGTTGCCAAAAAACACCGGACACAACAAGATGCTGGTGTTTGTGTTTGCGGCTGGTGAGAGCACCAGCGTGACACCTTGCCATGTGTACGTGTTGATGTGATGTTGGATGTGTCTCACCTTTGCTCCTCGCTCACACTCAAGCCCAGGCATTCAACTTACCTTACACCCCTTGTCCCCCCCCCCACCGTGCGATGTACTGCAGTGCTTGTGGTGGCAAGCTATGTGCTGCAGCAGTATCTGCCGCCACCGAAGCCGCACATCATCGGCATCGACCTCGGCACCACCTTCTCCTGCGTTGCCGCCTACCACGCCCACACCGGCCACATTGAAGTCTTCATCGATGACAGGAACAACACGCTCACGCCATCCATCGTGCACTTCCCGCCAGATGGTGGCCAGCCCATCGTCGGCTATGCTGCCAAGGCAGCCTTGCCGGAACACCCACACAACACCATCTACGAAGCCAAGCGCTTCATTGGCCAGCCATTCTCCCACATCAGCGCCGAAGACAAGGTTGATCTCATGGGATCCCGTATCGTGTCTGTCCGTCTTGCATCGACTGGAAAGGGGGCGGGGGCGTTGGTGCGAGATGCGACTATTCTGCGTCTCGTTGGCACTGCCAAACACACTGACGCTGTTGCTGACGCTGTTGCTGCTGTTGTTGGTGCTGTTGCTGCTGTTGTTGCTTGGTCTTGGGGCATCAACAGGACAGGTTTGCGTTTGACGTGGTCGACGTGAATGGATCAGCCGCCTTTCGCGTTCCGGGCTGGAGCGATCCCATCTTCCCCGACGACGTGGGTGCACACGTGCTGATGAAGCGCATTGCCGAGAAGGCCATTGGCAGAAACGTGAAGTGAGTCAAGTGTGGGTATGTGTGTGTGTGTGTGTGTGTCTGCATGTGTGCGTGTGTGTATTGCAGTCGTATATACTTGTAGCCACTCCCTCTCACTCGTCCTCACTTTCTGCATCGTGCACTTCGCCGTCTGCTTTGTCACGCCACCTGCGAATGTACATTCCCCTTCAACACAGAGAGGCAGTCATGGCGGTACCTGCAGAGTTCAATGCCAAGCAGCGAGCAGCGACCACATCTGCGGCCACCAAGGCTGGCTTGTCTGTCTTGCGTCTTCTCAGCGAACCAACAGCTGCCGCGCTAGCATACGGGCTCCACAACAAGGTGTTGTGTGTACGTGAGCGTGAGCGTTACGTGCGTGCGTGTACGTGTATGTGTGCGAATGTGTGTGCGTATGCGTGCGTGTGTGTGTGCATCGAGGGTGGCTGTGGCATATCATAGCTTCATCATGCGTCTCACATCTGCGTCTCTGTTTCCTTGTGTGTCGTGCAGTCCGACATCAACCACGTGCTCGTGTTTGACTTTGGCGGCGGCACCCTTGACGTGTCCATCCTCCACGTGGAAGGAGGTATGGTGATTGTTGTGGGATGGTGGTGTTGGTGTTGGTCGGTCTTGGTATTGGTGTTGCCGACGAGTGTTGGGTGGTGTTACAGCGACCGCAGTTGTTGTCACCACCACTCACCGAGGGTGAATGCATTTGTGTGTGCGTGTATGTATGTATGTGTGCGTGTGCGTGCGTGTATGTATGTATGTATGTATGTATGTATGTATGTATGTATGTATGTATGTATGTATGTATGTATGTATGTATGTATGTATGTATGTATGTATGTATGTATGTATGTATGTATGTATGTATGTATGTATGTATGTATGTATGTATGTATGTATGTATGTATGTATGTGTGTGTGTGTTTTTCTTTGTGTGTGTGTGCCCTTGTCCACATCTGCAGGTGTGTTCACGACGTTGGCGGTCGCTGGTGATAAGCATCTTGGTGGCGAGGACCTCAGGTCAGAGATGAAGACGAGAGCGGAGGGGGAGAGTTGCAGGAACAGAGACCCGAGTCATTGTCTTCATGTTGGTTGCTGCGTGTAATTGTGTACGTGTGTGCGCATATGTCTGCCTGTGTTCTGAACATTAAGCACCCATGTATTATCCTTCACCAACCCTCACAACTACTCTCACACACCATCACCACCACCACCATCACCATCATCACCACCACCACCACCACCCACATTCCTCAATACAGCCATGCACTGTTCATGCATGCACGTGCTCGCCTCGCCGCCAACACCGACACCACCGGCGCGAGTGAGAGCGATGTGCAGCAACTGCGCCTGAGCGTGGAGGAGGCCAAGATTTCGCTGAGTCAGCACTTGTCAGCCACCATTCGCATGGGGGAGCACAGCATCCAGGTGTGTAGAGGGGAAGCAGGGAGGGTGCTGTGTGTGTGTGTGTGTTTTGTGTGTGTGCGTGCGTGTGTGTGTGTGTTGTGTGTGTGTGTGTGTCGCTGAGCTTCTTTGTCGTTGTTCTTGTCAGCGACGACAGTGACATCACTCACCATATGCTATCCCATTCCCTATCATGGCGTGTCAGGTGACGCGGGATGAGTTTGAGACCGTTGCTGCTCCGCTCTTCCAACGGATACACAATCCAATCCACCAGGTCTGTGTGGCGCGATGCTCTTTGGCGTCGCGTTGTCTGTTGAATGGTCTGTTTGTTTGTTCGCTTCACGTGTGTGCACACACACATGCACACACGCACCCTCTCTCACTCACACACACACACACACACACCACACACACACACGCTCACACACACGTCATGTTTGTCAGGCGCTGGCTGATGCCCATATTGGGGTTGAGGACGTTGATGAGGTTGTCCTCGTCGGCGGATCCACGCGTGTGCACAAGGTTTAGAACTGATCGTTCACACACACACACACACGCACGCACGCTCATTAACACACACACACATCAACACACACACACACACACACACGCACGCACGCACGCACGTACGCACACACGCACGCACGCACGCACGCACGCACGCACGCATGCACGCTCATCAACACACACACATACACACACACACACACAAGACCTCCAACAGCGCGCAACAATACACACGTTCACCTCCTCCCCTCTCACACGCGTCGCTGTTCAGGTGCGGCGGATGCTGGCTGAGATGTTTGGGAAGGAGCCAAACTGCAACATCAATCCCGATGAGGCCGTCGCTAGGGGCGTCGCCATGCAGGGTGAGCATGTCATTAGCACCGGCGTACGGCTGGTTCACACGATTTGCCAATGTATTGACGAACTGCAAATCGTTCCCTCCACCACCACCACCACCACGACCACCACCACCTCACTGCTGCACCACCATCACCACCACCACCACCACCACCACCACCACCACCACCACCACCACCACCACCACCACCACCACCACCATGACAGCGGGGATCCTGGCTGGTGCGTGGCCGCTGCAGGTTGCAGCCATCGAGGCGCCGTTCCCAGACCACGCGCACGAGGACAGCAGTAGCGCTGGTGATGGTGATGGTGATGGTGATGGTGATGGTGATGGTGATGGTGATGGTGATGGTGATGGTGATGGTGATGGTGATGGTGATAGTGCACGTGGTAGTGGAGTGTGATGTGCGTGTGTCGTTCCACCTCGCCACAGATCACCAGCATTGACCACGATGATGACAAGATGTTCAAAGTGTAGAGTATGATTGCATTTACGTTGGCGCAGCAACAGCAACAGCAGCAGCAATTAATGCTGCCTGTCTGTGTTTGCGCCCTGGCTTGGGACGTGCGAGCATGATTAGACGCACCAGTTAAAATGTACACCCACGACAAGCAAGCAAGCGAGAGCAAGCGTTGCAAACAGCACGCAGCACACGGTGTTGGGAAAGCACAGAGTGATGTAATGTGCCACACACTAATGAGCAAAGCAACACCAACAGCAAAGTCCACGTATGTGTGTGTGTGTGTGTGTGTGTGTATTGCGAGCGTCCCTTTCGCTTACTCGCGTGTGCTCACGCCATCTCACGCCCCCCCCTCTCTCTCTCTCTATCTCTCTCTGTCTCTCTCTCTCTCTCTTTGTTATTCATCACTCCTCGTCATCATCGTCGTCACCACCTGCGTTCTGCCACCACGGTGCATTGCCACCACCAGCTGCACCTGCTGCCCTCCTCCGCAGACCACCAGCACCACCGTTGTTGGCAATACCATGACCACCATCATCATCATCATCGTTGTTGTCGTTGTTGTTGTTGTTGTTGTTGTTGTTGTTGTTGTTGTCGACAACAGCGGCGCCACCCCAGTTGAAGCCGCCTGCGTCG